AAAAAAGTAATAGTACAGAAATTTAGCATGGAATCACGTGGCCAGAACCAGATGCCATCTTTGAGGTTTAAACGTTAAGAGGTAGGTTTTCATTTAGTCATTTACCGCCAGCTTAATTGCCTTGAATTTTATTTTTATTTATGCCTCGTACAAATGCTGAAATCGAATAAAGTAATCCGTTTTCTAAAAATTGGTTATATTTTTTAGCCAAATAAGCAATTAACCAGTCTTTTGTTGGTGTTTCTAGAAAGGCGGCTGATCCTAAGTGAAAACCCAATATGGCGGCGGCTTAAGTCCAATCAGTGTATTTTATGATGCTTTATTGCTTCAGAAATCTACACATGCTAAAACACGTATTATTATTATTTTTTTTTTTTTTTAGCAAAATTAGCGTAATTTTGACAATTTCCAATGTAATGGCAGGATGATTTCCATTCGCTCCAATTTACTCCAATCAAGAGAAAATAATCTCTTGCTCCAATGTAAATCGACTAACGTCCGAACGGCGAACGGCGAACGGCGAACGGCAAACGTCCAACTTCAAACTGCAGTTAGACGTTTGCGGTGAACGTGGATCTAAATATCGGCTGGATTTCCTCCACTTTCTTGGTTCCGGCCGCGTTCCTTTCTCGGAACAGCGGCTGGTAATCGATCCTAGAGTCTAAAGGTCTCTTATGTCATGTTTAACCTCTCTAGTGTGAGTGTGCGATGACGTCACGTGAGTGATCAAATGACTTCTAATCCGTACAGCGCTCCGTAATAATTAAGCAGAAAAGATCCCCGGGTACACAAAATCCAGATACATTAAAGAAGCGTATAGCGACCTTTATAGATCAACTCGTTGTGCTAGTGAACTAATAAAGAAAAGAATGGTTTTTATTTTCGTGAGATGAATTGCCGATACTTTTGACACGGTGCATTGTATTGATACGATCTCTTCCATGAAAATTATGTCTTAAATGTTTTAACTGTGGTTGAAAACCTCTGCCATTACTTCCAAATTAAACCTATAAGTAAAAATTAAACAGCGAATTCATATCCCGTTATACAGGTTCAGAAACTGAAATTACCATCCTTGATCAATTGATCAACCCAGTCCGGATTGGTTATAAGCGTTTTCCTGGTTTCAAAATACAGTCCATCGGATTCTATAACAAAAAATTCCTGGTTTGAGTTTCTGGGAATTTCCATTGACGAATGGATCAGTATTTCCGGAATTTCCGAGAAAAAGATCAACCCAGTTCGTGGCTGATTTTCCGGGAATTCGGATAACTTTCGAGAAAGGTTTAGAGACGTTTCTAGGAATTAAATGACCGGCTTTGAAAAGATTCTATGGATTTCTGAAGCAAAAATAATAACAATTACCAGAGTAAAAAGTTGTATTCTTATTTCCCAGTGTGAACAATTCAATTATTTAAGTTACTGTGTGATTATGCTGGCATTTCTTCTAGAAAAAAAACATGCAGTCGGCGAAGAAACACGCTGAAGTAAGTAAATAAGTTTAACGACGCTGTATTGACATCAAGCTTTCGATTTCAATCATGCAAAACTAGACAAGTTAGACTGAAAGAAGCTCTTGAGTCAGAAACCATACAGTTTAAACATACATACACCTACGACTGACGGAAAAAACAATGCTGCATCCTGTGTTCAAACTCAAACGCCTGGCAATTTCATAGAATCTGTCTAAATGGTTCTGCCCAGACCGTTTACAAACTCTTATTATTCACAACTGCTGTCTTACCGTACATTATCGTTTTCTCTTTTTGGACAATACTTCCTTATATCGCAGTAAGCCATAGCTTAAATGGTTCAGTCGATCATCGACAGCCAACAGATCAGCCAACGCTAAAATCAAAACGCCCGTATGGTTGCAAGAGCTACCTTCGCGAATTTGAGTAAAATATGTGTTCTACGGCTTTTTCCGGACCGAAAAGAGAATTCTTTAAATAAGCTGGCTCTTCGATTTTAGACCATAATGTACAGAAAGACTCGAGATATTCCCGGAAAACCACTGCCTTTCGCTGTCTGCTTTTAAGAAGATGGGCTGACATATGCTGCCAAAGTGGCCCTCCAACATGGGCTGTGATTGAGGTCTCGTGATTGCACAGACACGGATGTATTATTTGTAGCGTGAATGGCATCATGGAAATGCGCACGACTTTATCACGCGCTAGTCTTAAGGTCAGGCTGTTATTGCCCTAAAAAGGACAAAGTAAACATTTGAGACGCGTCTGGTGATACGACTTCGTCCAATAGAAAACGACGTCTTAGAACAATGAATTTCCGACACTTAATATCTCGCTCTCGGGCAGAAGTTTCGATCTTGAGTCGTCTTCTTGCCCATCACCGATTCGCTACACAGGAGGTTTCCAAGAAGTGTTCACCATGGAGAAAGTTTACTTCAAATTGTTTGTTTTCTGTGCAACCATTTCCCTTGGTAAGACATTTTTCCCTTCACGACTTTCTTTCCACTAATTCTTTAAATTGTTTAATTATGAGTTCGAGATTCTCAGATTGCGAACATGAAGAGCATTCCTGCAACTGTACAACTAGTCGCTGCGAACTCCTCAGTTACTTTTCTACCTGCTTTTGTAAACAAGGTACACCATACACATATTCCATCGTTGGAGCAAAAACGATAAACTGTTTAGTTTGAAGTTTTCAGCTCGGAAGCTCGTGAGTAGCACATGTAAGCATTTGTTACAACGAATGATAAATATAACTGAGCGATTGAGTTTTCAGTTCGGAAAGTGCTGGTTGACCAAGCTATCAAAGTAGAAATTTGCTTTACTGACGGATTGGTTATAGGCGTTTCCCTGGTTTCAAAATACAGTCCATCGGATTCTATAAAAAAAAAAAATCCTGGTTTGAGTTTCTGGGAATTTCCATTGACGAATGGATTAGTATTTCCGGAATTTCCGAGAAAAAGAACATATAACTTTTCGCCGCACTGACGAGGTGCGTATAGAGTTGCTTTCACAAATGAAATTCGTCTGTTATCAAGATTGGAACCTTGCTGTTGCCTTAGTGTAGTTCGCTCATTGGTTTCATTTGCCCATGCTACGATATTCTTCCATTTTGATAGTTTATGTCCCTCTGTAATAACCTTTCAGGTAGCAAATCACAGCGCGCGATTTGATTCATCTTATCCACTTGCATAGTAAGCTACACTGACCCGGAAAAACATAATACATTGTCTAAAAACCGTCATCTAACGATGAGTTGTTGTATGATTCCAGCATATTCGTTCATGTGTTACAAATGTGGTCCAATTAAAGAAGATCAAGAGTACTCCGCGGATCAGTGCGAAAAAGATCAGATAAAGGTCAACTGCACCGGCGACGACAACACTTGTTTCAAGTTCCATGACGAGAGTACCGATGGTATTGTATAGGAATCGAGAGTATGTATGTAAAAAAGCTATTGCGAAGAGTCGAAGTAAATATGCTCAGATAAAGACAAGATGAAAAAGGCCAAGGTAAAAGAGTGCCAAGCCGCTTGCTGCGTCAGTACTGGAGACACACCCTGCAACGGCGCCTCCATCGCCTCCAACAGCGTGATGACCATGATGATGGTAGCAGCGTTGGGCAGTTTAAAGCTGTTCTAAACACACAATCCACACACAGGCAGTAGTCAACCTTTCTGGTTAGCTGTATCGACTCCGTCTGCCTTTAATTTGTTTTTAGTGAGTAACATTGATTTGATAAAGGCTGGCAGAAATATTTACCTCGTGTATCTAATGGGTATCAAAAAAAGAATCAGTTGTGTTATCGATATTTTTTAGACGTTCTAATATAGATCATGAACTTTGATCATTGGAGTACCTACCTTGTATGCAGTTTACCTAGAGCTTAGTACTGTAGATTGCATTGAACTTTTAGTGGCATTTTAGCACTATTTTGGGTTCAAAACTGCGCTTAATAAATGTTTGTCAACTTTGTAATAAGTTAATATGTTATTTGATGACTCTAATTATTTGAAAAAAATTTTATTTCCACCCTTAGTCTACGCTTAGTCTACGCAAAGTAGACTCATGATTTGCTTGACGCAACCTTGCCATTGTCACAATCAGCTCAAAACATTGTGAGCCATACCAAATCTCAGGCCAAAATGGTGAAATCGCAGAATATAATTATCGGAAAAAAAATTGTCCGAGGGTAAGTTTGCGCTGTGATTTACTTAAAAGAGAGACTACCTCACATTGGGCAAACTAATTCTAAGATGCAGCAATTCTAGCGGTCGAAACAACCCTAATTACATATCAGCAGTCTAGTCGATCTGTAACGATTTCGTGGGAGTCCAAAGGCGATTTCTTTTCCTATAGACATATATATTTTTTGCGCCCACAAAGCTTGCGGCAGTTTTCGTTACAAAATCACCATTCTGCGATGTTTATGCCGACGGCAACACCGAGGGACGATAGAGTGACTGTGGGATGGAATGAGTATATATCCCGTCTTTTTCAGAGATTCGTAATGAAAGAAGGTTTTGTTCTTTAAACAGGAAAATGTGTCAGCATTTTCTAGGAATGAAAGGGAGCTAACAAAAGAAAACAGTTTTAACTCTTTAACCTTTTCCTATGAAAGTGCCCAGCCTGCCAATCATCCGAAATCCCAACGGGCAACCAATGGGTATTTTTGATTGGTTAATTAACCAAGGCGTCACTGAATCGATATCAGTGACCTTTGCAAACCTCTACACGTACCGAGTAACACCTCTCTCCTCCGCAGGCATGGCACTCCGCAGAGGTTCGAAACGTTTTTTATAGAAATCTGTGAGCCGTGCGAGGTAACTGCTGGCGCAAAGCCTGGTAGCCGTAATTCAAGACAGGTACAAGTTTTTAACTGACGATTTTCCGTGAATAAAAGTAAGAACAATTATTCGTAATTGCTTCCGATGTTGTCTTGGACATCACTTTCGTGATCGCTGGCTAAAGCTCAAGAGTTATACCCACAAAGTTACTTCTTACAAGATTTGTCTTAGTTCTCATAATGCTTGGCTTCCCGATGCAAACTTGACACCAGGTCTCTCTCCATCTCGCCCGGTCGGTGCAACATGGCCGCCAGTAATTTCGTGACGTCATCCAGAGGCGCAACCTCGTTTCCTCGAGAAAGTACCCTGGTTGCGGCTGGTCACGTGTCTGCCAGATTTTAGCAGATTCCAGAGATGTGATTGAAGGGAGGGGCTGGAAAGTTAAAGTTTGTCTCAGCACTGAGCTTGCCTACTGAGCCCAGCAGTTAGTGGAATTTGTAACCCTCCCGTTGTGGATCGGCAGAAATCACAGCGAAGGCATTGACACATTCGATATAGGAGTTCAGTGCGTTCAGCGTTCGGCCGTTAGCTCTACATTTAGCTGAATTTTCCCCGTCGATAGTTGGACGGTCTTTGGAATTTGTGGCAGTGAAAAAATTTGGTAAAGAACTTGGAAATGACGACCACCACAACAAATGGACCGCGCGGTTAATTTAATTTTATTTTTCATTCGGCAAAATCACAACGAGGGTATTTACTCGTTCCGTTAGAGTTAAAAACTGTTAAATACGTCGTATGTTCGCCTACAATGGTAGTTTTGAATTTGATTGAAGTACTCTCATCGACAGTTTGACGGTCATTCCATTCTCTTGCGGCGAAAATATTTTACGAAGAACTTGACATCAACAACGTCTGCGCGCTGACTATCAAAGCTTAACGCCCGGTTCAAACGTCGAACTTTACATGTGCCGAACCTAATAGCCCCAATTAAGTACATGACGAGATCGACGTTTGAATCAATTAGGTTCAACAGATGTTATTTTGGTCGACCCGGGAATTAAGTTCGACATGGCCAGTCGGTCAGTTCGACTACGGAGCGACTCCGATTCAAACGTCGAATTTTTCATGTACCGAACCCAGTGCATACATTACAAATACATTAAATAAATTAATTTTTACCCAGAGATCTGTACGTTTCCTATTTTTGTCATGCGCACACACCTTGTTTTGATCATTTGGAACAAAATAGCGGGAAGAGCGGGACGATATGTGTTCCTATTGCTTCGAGAGCACGAAATATACTTGCCTAATTTGCATAAACCACTTCTGCATGCGGTGTTCCGTATTTCAAAACGATGAGACTGTAGCGGGTTGGAAAGCAGCCAGTTCGGTGGCGTACTGCAAGTCATGTTTTTGAGAGAAAATGACAAAACAAACGAGTCTTGAAGAAACCGATGACAGGAACGAACTGGACGAGGAATTGCGATGTTCCTTTGGGAATAAGCCATACTATCAGGCAAACCAAATTTAAAAATCGTCTTCGGTTGTTTAATGCTGATTGCATCTGGGTCGCCTTCTTCGACTAGTTCTACCCTCCTTTATCGCACTTGCAAGAAAAGCAAGCTCTTCATTTTCACAATTTGTCT